TCGTAACTTGCGGACTCAGTGGATGCAGGACTGGTTGGTGATCGTGACTCGGACTCTGGACGCTCAGTTTGAGATGCAATGGACCCTTCTGGAGTTCTTGTGTCCTCGGTGTCTGGTGTCCTGGATGATTCCCTAAGTCTCCTAGGCTTTGGGGGTGTAGGCGGCACGAACGAGCGAATCTCGGACCTTGGGGCCAAAACCACTCTCGGCTGCAGCGCCATATAGCCTTGCGAAGCACGGTGGGTGAAACTGATGACGTCGGACCACGGCTCTGAGACATTGGCCATGTCTCCTACAGGCGCTCCATTCTGGATGCGCTCCCAGATTGCTCCAGGTTCACGTTTTCGAACGTAGACCGACTTGATCCAACCCCATTTTGTCATCCAGCCTGCTTTTGAAACTGCTGAAGTGTAAACTCCACCCCTGATCTTGATGTCAACTCGAACTCCAAACCATTGTTGGTCTTTGGCTGGCAGATTGCGATTCACAAGCCACAAGGTGCGGTCACGGTTTCCCCAATCCCTAGCTGCGCCGGCCAGAACATGGAGAAGTTCAGGGTCCACCTGGTCAACCTTCGGCACCCCATCACTGGTCAAAAGGACCCACAACTCATCTTCCAAAACTGGACGTTGGTCTTCATCGTACCTGGACTTGGACAAGAGTTGGGGCGGCGGACGATTTGGTGGTGGTGGATGATCAGGAGTGCGCGGACTCACAGGCCTCGGCGGAGGTGGTGGAGTCTTCGGCATCGTAGGAGCTGTCTTTACTGTTGATCTGGTCGGACGAATCGGGCTCCTAGACCTAGTTGGCCTCTGGTTGGATTCTAATGTACCAGCTGACTTCCTCCTCCTCAATGGGCTTCGGGACCGTGGATTGCGATTTGCAAGCGACGTCACGGCATCTGTCAACCTCTTGAGGGCTTGCAAAATCTCTTGGCTTCCGCCCGAAGTCTCTTCCGCTGGAATCTCTGGCTCTTCAACCTCAACCTCTTCTATCTCTTCTCCAACCTCTTGTTCGTCCAACTTGATGTCGTTTTCATGGCTGTCATCATCATCAAAATCCGGAACCGGCCTCACAGGCGAGGTCACGGCAGCGCTCGGCATAGGTTTGCTCTTTCGAGATGCCACGGCGTCACTCGCCTTCGGCGGTCGTGAAGATGAAGATGGCCTCGAAAGTACTGGAGGGCAGGCTTTTGGTGGAAGTGAGCGGGCTTTTGCACTGGTGCTGCGAATAGCCTCTTCTCGCGACGGTGGTGGTGCTGTTGAACGCTCACTGGATCGCCACGGCACGTGGTCGTCCGCATCACCTCGAACAGCTCTTGGAGTGTGAACATTCTTTGTATGTGCTGGAGTCAATGTCACAGTTGTATCGCCATAAAGCGGTCCACAAAGAGTGCAACGTCCTCCACACGACATCTCACGCCATTCAGGCGAGTGAGAATGGATCACAACACACGTGAAGCCTTTCGAAGCAAGGTGCCTGTGGATCAACATGCTTCCGCCCACAGAACGATGACGCCCTGACTTGCAGCGCACATCCAAAACTCCCTTGTCATGGTGCTCCACAAAGTCATCCACCTCACTAAAGATGCGGTCAAGACCTCTCTGATCCCTCCTAAGACCATTCAAAATGGCCGGATGCCTTCCCACGTGTCCACGCAACGAAGGATCTTGGTCGGGATCCCACAGCGACTTGGCGTTGATGTACTTCACGGGGATATCACTGCCAACATGCTCTGACAACCTGTCTTCAAACCGGTCACCTCCTGTGACAAGCAAAAACTCACGGCTCTTCAAACTGCCAATGATGTTGCCAAGCGCACGATGGATACCTTCGGCAGTCTGGGCTTGGTACCCTCGCTCTGCTGTATCCAATCTCTCCATCGGAGTATTGAAGGCTGTGAGAGCGACACGAAATTTGCGATGACACTTTGGAATCTTTTGGGGCATGGTGGCTTCGAGACTTGTCCCTTTTTCACCCAGTCCGGCAAAGTTCTTCGATGTCGTGGTCGAAAAAGGGAAGTCGTATCCTAGCTTCTTCAACTTGGCCTCAACAACGTCTCCCCAGTGCTTCGAATGGCAGGTGGAATTACATCCCTCGTCGAGAACGACGTAGATGTTCCCGTCGCATGGGCTGTACATGTCTCTGGCTTCGTGAAATATATGCACCAAACCATCTGTCATCTGGGTAGGTTCCTCCCCATGAAAACAAATGCCGATCCCTGCAAATGGGTCTGGATCTTCGGTGTAATCAACCATGGTGAACGAGTCTCCTTTGCTCTCTTCGATGGACTGGTGGAGGAGCTCGTGCAACTTGATCGAAGTCACGGCCTCGGTTTCGGCTGCCAACGCGACTTGGGCGGCAAATTCAGTCAAAATCTTCTCTAGCATCTCGGGGGTGTGTCCTTCTTCAGGTTCCTCTTCAACCAAACGTTCAATCATTGGGATTCTATCGAGCGGTGCGTTGACGACTTTCTCAGAGGCTGCCTTCCTAGTCTTTTGGAGCTCCATCGGAGTCTCATCCAAAAACGAACAACAAAGCTTGCAATACACACGGTGAACAGACCTGGAAGAACCTCGAAAATCAGTGTCCGAGTGCGGGCAATCGTCATATGCAAACTTCGGGGCTTGCTCTCTACGCTCGGTGGTGGAGTTCCCACAGACAAGGCATGTCTTCTTGATGGTGTATGCTGTGCTCCCTTGTTTGGTGAACTCGGAACAATTCTTGCATTTCTCTTTTGGTGGATATGGTGGTTTCTTCCTTGAGGACCCTTTTGGGATTGGCTGCAATGACGATGAAGAAGAAGCACCACCAACCTTCCTGAAAACTGAAGCTCCCCTATATTCAAAATGCTGATCAACCCACGTGACGAAAGCCGAAGCGATTGGACTCTTGCCATTCTTGATGGCCCATTGATGGTAGTCAGGATGTTCATGAAGGATCTGCCAAAATGTCTTCCCCCTGAACTGTCCAGCTAAGAACTTCCTATCGCTCCCCTCAGGCCTTACGAGGTCGTTAGGACTCACTGGTGCCTCCGGACGAACTCCTGAGCTGGCCTTCACGGCCATGTGAGCAACACCGTCGGTTGGAGACGCCGCACCTAGAAAAATCCCTTCGTCCTCGGATGAATCACTCATGTGGGCAATGTGTGCAGCAGGTTTCGGGGCCGATCCAGTCTTCGGGGCATTGGGCATCTTACATTGGGGGTCTCCGGCCCAGTGACCCAAACCACCACAACGAAGACACTTGGATTTCGCCTTGATCTCGGACAGTTTCTGTCGACGTTGCTCGATGCTAAGGTGAGACTTCACTATCTTACCTTTGCCTTTACCTTTCCCCTTGAATTTATCCTTGCCTTTGCCTTTTGCCTTCCCGAAAGCGACGAATGCGGCAAGCTGCAATTGGATAGCATCACCTGAGGAACGTTCTTCGGCATCTTCGCAATCAACTACTGCATTCAAGGCAATTGCTTCATATTCATCAACATCATCATGATACTCAAAATCTTCGTATTCAGGATGGCTAGCATGTTCATGTTCTTCAGACTCTTCAATCCCTCCTAGCATGCCTACGAAAGAATCTTCTTCATGATGATGCTCCTGCAAGTCCTCATCTCTCCAATCGAAATTGTCTTCCCAATCGGGATAGATGGCATTGTAACCAGCACGAGGGTATTGGCTACCTTTACCCTTACCTTGGTACCCCTTCTGGTACCCCTTGCCTTTGCCTACCTGAGGCTGAATTCCCCGTCCTGTCCAGGATCGGGACCCTTCACGAAGATGGATTCCACTGTAGTTGTCAACCAGGACTCGTGCAGTACCTTCGAAGTCATCGTTCTTGCGACAAGCCTTCACCACGAGGATCTCCTGCCTGGAAATACCTGACATCTCCAGCAATAGCTCTGTGCGGAAAGCTTCTGAGATCATCATTGTGGGGTCAAGCTCAACCAACAAGGTCCACCAACGTCGTCGACGTTGAGTGTACGACAACATGCTCTCTGTAGGCTGTCTCGACAGTGGTCCTCCATGCTTCTGTCCTGCGCGAAAAAGCTCCTTACTCTCCTCCAAGGCTCGAGGAAACACATGATTACGTATCACCTCGATGAGACGCTCCAGTCCCCCTGGACGTGCAAGTGTCTCTAGACCTAAGTCTCTGGCAAGCAAAAAGGCATCACCTCTCAAACCTTCTACGATCTTGTTCACTAGGACACTGCGATCGATGATACTCGACTTGTCTGACTTAACGGACGAAGCCTTCGGTGATGTTGCATCAACCTTCGACTTGGGAGTACCGGCAGTCTCACGCGGCTCGGGCTCAAACTCCTCGGGATAGTGTCCAGGCGAAGGGAATGCGAATCCTTCGTCTGACTCTGGTGGCCAAGGCTCCCCTTCGTCGGCAGGTCCAGTCACGGGATCCTGCTTCTTTGCTGGTTGCGTCTGGGCTTGGTCGTACAGCTTGATGCGGAGTTCGGTTCGAAATTTCCAGTCATGAAATGATGCAGGATCTCCCCAATAGATGTAAGACCCACTCTTGGTTTCCAGGGGGTTGCCTATCCTATCACCAGTGCTACCCGAATGGAACTTGAGTCCAGCAATGGACATGTTCGACGATTCCGACGGAGATTGCTCGGGCGAGCAATCTATTCCGGGCTCTGTCCCCAACGGGATCAGAGGAGGCAAGCGAAAGCACGCAAGGAATGCAAGCTCAGGCTTGATGTTCTACGATTCCAATGACCTGGATCAGTACGTGCCGGAGTCAGGCCGTCACCCGCTCCGCTACCAATGTCGGTAGCAACCGGAATCGTACTGTCCACACGCTCTTTTCACTGCGAAAGCGAGCACGGTATAGCTCAAGGGCCCTAGGAGCCAAACGGCGGCAGACACAACATAGTGTGACAACCTGGCTCAACAGAATGAGATCCTACCTCAAATTCACAAAAGCAACAACAACAACAACAACGCAACAACAACAACAACAAGATTGCAAAGCATGGCCCGGGCCCTGCGTGAGACGGCCATCCACCCTCCAACGCACCAATAGCCAGCTGATGCTAGTTGATGTGTTTTGCAATTTATGAATGTAAGCTGTTGACTTGACCTTTCCCTTATTAAGCCAAAAAACTGCTGCACAAAAAAGTGCATTGCTCTGCTGTCCAGGTGAAGTTTTAGCTTCACTGTCACTTTTTTCCCGCCACTACGGCAGCCAAATCTCTCTGTTCAAAACTCGAGAAGCGGACCTGTGCCAGGGTTGGGACTGTGAGCTTTCTCTCCTCTCCAAGTTTCCCAGTCTCAAGTCTCAAGCTGTTTGCCTATCCCCCATCATCTCCCGAGTTCTGTTTGGGTCGTCTTGTTGAAACTTCAACTGCGTTCATCCTTTGCTGTTATGGCCCTTGTGGCCGCATGGGTCATAGCATCCACATAATTCCAAACACGCAGTCGGGACTTTATGACTTTATGTGAGTTCTTCTGTTGACGACTTCCCGTAGATGACTCAGGTCGAAGGATTCCCAAGTTCATTTAAAGTTCTCAAAAAGTCGGTGTAGCACGAGAAAAGTCTGTGACGGGCTGAGCGTCGTAGCCTGAGGCAGCTGTGGTCGACGGTGGCGCAGCAGCATAAGCCACTCTGCCTAGCCTTGGGGCTGTCCAAGTCCATGAATCGGTACGTACAGGGGAAAGCCAAAGTCATGCCTATGTCATACCCCAACCCTGCTTCCGCATGGCACCGCTGCTCCCAAAGTCATGCCTTTGGAGCTTTCTCACCATGGAACCACGCCAGTAAGGGGTGCAAGGTCACTGCCACCCAAACTGCGGCAAATGGTATCCCAGCAAACATAACGCTGACTTTTCAACTCATGTCTTCAGTACGAAGACGCGTTTGCGCTAGGCCAGCCAAGTTTGGAGCCAGTTCTTCCTTCCAGTTTTCGGACCCAACGTGTTCGGCTCTATGATTTCTTTTGTAAAATGTGCTCTCAAGGCTTTTGGAGTTCTCTTGTTCCGCAAGAAATTCACATAGAAAAGGGCGACCTTTGGAGAACATCTCACGATCCACACGCACAGCTGCAGCCTCCTGTTTGCACTTTGAACCTGCTGATCATCCGGTCACCCACACTGGTCATCTCTAGTCTAGAGGTTACATTGCAGAATATAGTATATATCCCCATGCATGTGCAATGTCCCCTCAGTGCGAGCGTGCTCTGAGTACACCACTCCGCAAAGGCTTTTGCATCGCTCATGCGGGCCATCTCAGCGTCATACAGCATGGCTAGGCAGTACCTCTTGGTGCTACTAAACCAAATTGAGAACCGTTGAGACTCAGCTTGAACCCAACGAGCTAATTCAGCTGACACGGAGCCTTGGTCGATATGAGCTTCTCTTTCCGATTTTGCTGAGAGATTGAGATTTGCACTCGTGAAAGTGAAACTGCAATTGCCGGTGCAGACGCAAAAAAAATGCTGTGCATGAAGGATATCCCGCTTTTGCGTGGCAACATCCTAGCAGCTTCGCACAGGGCTCCCACTCACAAAAGGCAGAATTTGAGAAAAGCATTTAAAACAAAACCTTGTGTATGTGATGCGTGTGTTTGTGTAACTAGACATTCTGCCGCAAAATGAATCACAGTGTGCCAAATAGTGAGTGGAGCCCAACCATCAGCGCCGGCGCTTCGCCTACAGACCAGATCATTGACATCGTCGTGCTACACAAGCAACTTCTCACCAGCTCTGATGGCCAATGAGAAGCACCATCAAGGAGGCTCTGGCGGGCTCTCTACACATTCGTCACTGCTAGCGGTTGCTCATTCAGTGACTTCTTGTGCCGCCAGCAGCCCCAAACACCAAAAGGGCTTAACGGCTTAACCCTGTAAACACTGTTGATCTAAGCTCCGTGCCCACAATCCCGTTAGACTTTTTCTGTAATTACATTATATAGCTCAAACATGCTCAGACTCCGTTGGCGAAACTTCTTGGGCATAGAGTTCAGCAACGTTATTGCCACGCAGCACCGCACGGCAAGGAATTTCACCACGAGAGCCCTTGAAGTAGTCTGCAAAAGCCGCCACACAGGCAACGTCGGTCTGAGCAAATCACCGTCACACCACTGTTGAAATTTCTACTTCAAGGCAAATCTTGTGGAGAGCTTGCGTCACGGAGGCTCTGGCACACCTTGGAGCTGCTGTCAGTACCTTTTGTTTTTGATGCATTTGCTTGCAGTGAGTGCCAATGCCTCACCGCGGTGGCGGTCACTTGAGGTAAAAACATTGCAAAAAGTGCTCACTCAATCAATCTGATCCAACCTGTTGCACGCCAAAGTTCCTGAGTGCAGGGCTCAAGCCACAATGGTCACATGTCTACGCATGTTTGTGCTAATTACTATGCATTAAGCAGTTTGTATGGCATGGTGTCTTTCAGAATTCGGAGTAAGATGTCTTAGCAAACCCTGCATACCTTCGCTATCATCCGCTTGGCTGCACGTTCGTCATGTCAAAGCTTCGGTTTCACCGGATTCAATTTGGCGATGCCGGCGATGTCCTGCAGTTTGGATCAGCTATCAGGCCCCCCGTGCTTGCAGGAACTTCAGCAATATCAATCTACCCAATCAAAGCACTTGATTCACAAAACCGAAACTCTGCTCTTGCTTTAGCGCCTGCTGCTGTCCGTCGTTGTTATCCTCCGTATACTTTCTGACCTCAATTCTATTGGAAAGTTCTGCATGTCTCTTCATTGGCTTAATTCCTCGCACTACTTACTTTTGCCAAAGTTGAGCAGGACAGGATGTGCCTTAAGAATATCCGTCGATAGTCATCTGGGAACAGTGCCTGGCCAAATTGCATACTTCTCGGCATGTTCATTGCAAAAAGACACGCAATGGGCACAAATACCTTGCCTTCATGAACTCTTTGTCATCAATGCCTCCACTTCCATCTACATCAAAGAGCTCAAATAGCTCTTCTGCCTCTCTGGGCCCCATGCCCACCTGGTCCAAGGTCTTGCGCATTGAAAAGCACAGAAAAAACATACACTTTGCCTATGGCGGGTGCAAAGGGGCCGGGCCTTCATTTTGACAATCATGTCGCAGAATTCATCCATGCTCAGGTCCCCAGTTTGGTTCCCGTCCTTGATTTCAATCACACACAATGTCAGTGGTTTTGTGAACTTGAACCCAAAATCAATTCAACATGCATTCTTCAAATTCAACCTATGGCAATTGAGGCAACCCATCAAACGACAAGGCGCATACTGTCGGAAGAGCCTGGGCAAGTCAGCGGCTTGGAAGCCATGCCGTTTCAGGCGTTGCCGCGTCCGGGCCATGAGCAAAATACGATTTCGATCCTTGGCGGGGCTGTGACTCCTGGACTCCTGGACCTCCTTTGCACCGCTGTTGTTCTTGTCCGGTGAGGCAAGTTTGTTGTATACGGTTCATTCTCCTGACGCTACGGAATACGGGCAAGCCTATCAAACTCATTCTGTGGGTTTGTCTGTTTCCGACTGCAACATGAGCATCTGTCCATGCATGCGACATGGCGTTGCCGAGAACGGAGATCGGCATCGCCATAAAGAGTGAACTGAAAAAGCACAAGCTGCCCATGAGCCTTAGCTCCACCATTGTTCCGGAAAGTATTTTCTTTGCAATAGCCCTCGATTTTCCTCAATGCAACTCGGCATCATCTTCCCGGACAATGTGATTGGTGTGATGTCACCATAGCCAACGGTGGTCACTGTGACAGTGCTGACCCACATTGCCGTAAACATGGAGTCCACAATGTGATCAGGCTCCAAGATGTAGAGCAACGTCGAAAACCTAGAGGCCGGGAGAGCACAAAGTTTGCCCAGGGCGTCAGGGGCAGCTCAAGCTAGACTTGGGTTTGCAAGGCCTGTGTCAAAACAAGCTACTCCGTAATTGGTCAACATTGCATATTGTTAAAGACTCAACCTTTAAGCCTCCAGCAAGCACACCAAACACCTGAAATATCTTACTTTTGCATATATATATATATATATTGTCAAGCGCCAAGGGCTAGAACCAAATCCTTTCCCACAAGCGTGGTCCAAATAGTTCAAGGACGCTAGGCCCAAACGTGAGACACTGACACACGGATTTGAACTTCTGACTCATGTTCATATGAGGCGAGGAATCTTATCAAGCTGTCGGCTGTCGGCCGAATGAGGGCCAAAATCTGTGGGACATGCTAGAACCTGCTGTGAATGATCACGTGCTTCCTTTCGTGGACCAGTTGCATGTCTATTATTTGTCCAAATCAGGGCTAATGATGCCCCCATTTGGTCCCAGTTGCAATCTTTCGTTCCGTCGATATAGGTTCAGCATTGTTTCATGCTTCTGAGGTCTTTCATGACTATATAATGTGTCTGAGAATTTGTCTGCTTCAATGATTGTTTCTGCCCTACCACGCCTCGACAAAAACGTCAAGAGGAAACACGGCGTTGGCGTAGCCAAGACTCTTACGTCTTTTTGCTTCGCCAAAAAGGACCGTTCATGAAGACACTTAAAACGTCAAGAGGAAACACGGCGTTGGCGTAGCCAAGACTCTTACGTCTTTTTGCTTCGCCAAAAAGGACCGTTCATGAAGACACTTAAAACGACGATATCTTATATACGAATTCTAAGACACAACAGTTTTTTTTGCATTGCCATCAAGGGTGTTGTCATGGGATTGAATGAGTGCAATTACATTATTGAGAACGGCGTGTGGTTCTGCCATGTCTGCCTGTTTCAAGACTGGTGTTGAGGCTTTTGATAGCAAATTGACTTGCGACATCCCAGCCAATAGCTGCATGTCTTAGCCTGATAGCCCCATGGGCCCCATGCAATGGCATCTGCACACCGCCGGGGCGTCTGAGTCTCCGGCAGAAGGACAATGATTGACACCAGGAACAGGAGGAACTTCAGTGCATCGCCTATGGTGACGTGAAGGCGCACTTTAAGATCGAAAAAACCGAAGCATGCCGAAGCTGTTGGAAAGCCGCTCACCAGAGTTTCAATTCGAACATGCTCACAGCACAGCACCCTGGCCGCCATCGCCCAGCCCAGCCTGTGGTGCGGAAGACATGTGCAAGCAACTGGATTTGCCCGAAGCGTCGAATAAGCTTCAGCAATCGCAGCAGTGGTACCAAACCTGGGCGCGTCATGGAAACAGAAGCTCTCAGTTCTAACGACAATAATAATCTTGATCTGCCAGCTGCAAAACAACATGCAAAAAATATCAAGTAGTGCAACAACCAGCCCCTAGCTGCACTGCTTGCAGGGAAAGCCACAAACCAAGGTGTAGTGTGCCCAGGGTTCTTCTGCTAATGAGGGCTGGACAAAACCTCTGCAAAATCTGACACGTATAGAGGTGAGTAACCGTCCAAAGTTGAAAATCATTTCAAAATAGACTGCCGCAGATTGGTTTTAGACTTCCACGCTCTTGTGAGCAAGTGCCGCACAACCATGCACAAGCAGCTTCCAAATTCAAAACAGTTCGCTCATGTGCACAGGATTGTCCTGCCTGTGGCTGCTCGAACAGGTAGGGGTGCAACTGCTAGAACATCAATCACCGTGTACATATGCTTCATGAAATCAAAGCGCTGCCTGAGAGTTCATGCAGCTCAAAGCATCGAGGAAACATTGAGGACTCCAAGACTCTAATGTCATGAAGCCAAATAATAGCAAGTTTCTTCAAAGCAACTAACAGCGATGGCCTCCAACCTAATTAATAGCGATGGCCTCCAACCTACTTGCGATGGCCTCCAACCTAATCATCATGAAGCCAAATTGCATCTGCACTTCCACCACAACTTCTGCCACGCACTCTACGAGGAAAATGAACTCTATCACCTTGCGCCGTTCCCTGCTCTCTTGAAACATGTTCACTTTCCAAACCTGAAGTGAACACTATCTGAACAGAGCCTCCCTGGTTCCAAGCCACTGCTTCGGCAATACCTACTGCCATGCCATTGATGAGGGGTGTTTTGGTCGTCTGCGACAGGGAGAGCAAAACTGTCCTTGGCGGCACATGCAATCACAAATATGACCAGGGATCCTGGTTTATGAACTGTTGAGCTGTTTTAACTCGCTTCAATCATGTATAGCAGTAAACTCGCACCTACCGACATGTGTAATTGCATCATATTGCATCAGTTTCTACCGTGTACCCTCACGCCCAAGTAGCACGGCAATGAAGTAGTTCCAAAGATTTGCAAACAAATATGCAGCGTAGCTCGATTCCGGGTCCCGAAGAAAATGACCCAAATAGCCTGCGGGCTGCACGGCAGTCGGAG